AAGTTTCAGAGAGGTGACTTGCTGTTGCCTGCCTCTGCATCCCGGCCCTGGTATTCCTTGGAGGTCTCTCTTCCAAGTATTCGCCAGGGTCGGACCTGCTTAGCTTCTGAGATCTGATGAGATCGAGCTTGCCTGGGCTATCCAGGTCAGGACAAGACACACACACACACACCCCGATCAGTGTACACCAGTCAAGAACGTGATCCAAAAGATGGTTCTCGAAGAAGAGCAGGATCGCTTCCTGGCCCATAGCTACAGTGGGGCTATTGGGGGCTCTGCCTCCTTCCTTAAAGGGACAGCCCCACAAGACTTTTTGAGAAGAATCAGAGGGGCATGCGTGGCCCCCTGCTTCTTCTCAAAAGCGTGCCCCTCCCCCTCCCTCCTGCAAGATTCAAAGGGCCCTCCAGCTGATGGATGGACCGCGTACTCCCCACCGATTTGCTGAAAAGCCCTTTAAATCTTTCAGGAGGGGAGGGAGAGGAGTGGTCGCCGGCGGTCAGGCTTGGGGGCGGATTGGAGCTGACATAAAAATAATGGCAGCCCCACCAGAAAATTTTTGGCCCCATAAGCCACAAAATCCTGGCCACGGGCCTGCCCCCTGCTCCCATCTGAGTGGAGTTAAGTCAGATTGCGTTGATATTCAAAGGTGCAATCCCAAAGTTTTAGTCTTGGCTTGGGAACAGCAGAAGAGTGGTAAGCATTTGGCAGGGAACTCTCCCCCATGTTGTTCTTTAACACTTGGTGCATCAGGAAACGAGCCATTGCTTTAAATTCATGACCGGGCAAAATGCCGATGTTTAAACAGTTCGGTTGATTGATACAGAGGTGACCATCTCTCTTGACAGAAATACATATTCGATCTACTGTTATCAGAGAATGTTACTGAAGACCTGGGGACAGTTTTCTGATGAGCCCTGCATTGTGGAAATAACATCCAAAGACTTTTTAAAAATCCCCACGTCCTCATTTGGCAGACTCCAGTGGCCTTTAGTAAACCCACATGCACCTTTTCCCTTAGATCCCAGAATCATGGGATTGCATCCAGTAGGCACTCTCAAAATTGGGGTGGAAAGTGTCCATGTTCTCTGTGGATGAGGGGGAAACAAAATGGGGTCTTTGTTTCATTACTTCTGCTCTTCTACTCCATGATGATCCATGAAATTTGACGGACGATTGGCATGGAATGGAATACAGAGAATGGAATACAGTTTGGATGGAAAGAAGGAAATCTACCCAGCCCTAAAGCCCTGAACTGGATGGCCCAGGCTAGCATGCTCTTGTCAGATCTCGGAAGCTAAGCAAAGGTCAGCCCTGGTTAGTACTTGGAAGGGAGACCGCCAGGGGTCATTTCCTGCAGGAGCGCACAGGAGCGGACCTCCGGCAGTAAAGAGACCAGGGGGCGGGCACATGCAACAAGCCCCACCCCCTGATCCCAGCAGCCCTCAGTCAGAGCAAGAAGCAGCCAGGTGAGTTGCAGAGCCCCCACCCGGCCCTCCGGGACTCTAATCTGGAGAACCAGGTTTGATCCCCCACGCCTCCACATGCAGCTGCTGGTGTGCCCTTCGGTCAGTCACAGCTCTCTCAGAGTTGTTCTCTCACAAGCAGTTCCCAAAAGAGCTCTCTCAGCCCCACTTACCTCACAGGGTGTCTGTTGTGGGGAAGGGAAATGAAAAGTCCTTAGACTAACGCAGTGATTCAGCTCTAAGACTTTATTTAAGGTTTGGAACAAAACAAACTAACCAGCTCGCAGGCTGGTTTATATGTGCAACAACGCCGCACCCAAAACACACACACACACAAGTGATTGGCTATTTACAGTGGCTGAGAGTTCCATAGGGATAACAATATTCAGTTGCCAATTAAAATAAAGTAAAAAGGTCCCCAGGGGAGGGAGAAAGGAAAATAGCAGCCTCAGGGGAAAAGGCTGCAATGTGGTTGGGAAAATCCTAATATCCCGGCCCCTGTGGCAGCCACCCAGGCTTTAAGGCAGAATTTCCCAGAACTTAGCAGCAAAACAGGTAATAGAAGGATCAGAGAAAAGATGGGGAATGCTGCTTCCCAACAGCGTGGATAGAGTGCTGTTGTCACAATTGACTCACAGCTTCTCTGCCCCTGGGGTTTTGAAGGCCAGAGGTGAGAGGTGAGCAGAGGTGGTTTTGCCATTGCCTTCCTCTACATATCAACACAGGGGAAAAGGCTGCAATGTGGTTGGGAAAATCCTAATATCCCGGCCCCTGTGGCAGCCACCCAGGCTTTACGGCAGTATTTCCCAGAACTTAGCAGCAAAACAGGTAATAGAAGGATCAGAGAAAAGATGGGGAATGCTTCCCCACAGTGCCGTGGGGAAGCAGGAAAAAAGCCCTGCTTCCTAACAGCGTGGATCGAGTGCTGTTGTCACAACTGACTCACAGCTTCTCTGCCCGTGGAGTTTTGAAGGCCAGAGGTGAGAGGTGAGCAGAGGTGGTTTTGCCATTGCCTTCCTCTGCATAGCAACATAGGCCTACCTTGGTGGTCACCCATCCAAGTACAAACACCACGTCGCTGTCTGTCGTTTATCCATGTGGCTACCCACTACATAACACAAGTCCAGAGGAGTTCAGGCTGAGTCTGGCTATTCAGGCTGGAATAGCCCCAGGTCACTCACTATGGAGGGGGGGGGATGTTGCCAAGCGCTTGTAGAGTGGTGGGGAATTGAGAGGGGAACAGGCATCATGTCAACACTGCAACCAGTGTTCCCTCTAAGCCGAGTTAGTGTGAGCTAGCTCAGTTTTTTAGCCTCCGGCCCACACATTTTTGTCTTAACTCAGGAAGGACGGCTCCAAACTAATTTATGCAGTAGCCAAGTCGCTCGCTCACAACGTTAATGCCAGTAGCTCACAAAGTAGAATTTTTGCTCACAAGACTCCACAGCTTAGATGGAGCATTGATTGCAACCTCGCTGCTGGCTCAGACCTGAAAAGGTCATCTGTGTGATATTCCAGGATTCCACCAAAACAAGTTGGGTGGAATTCCAGAGTGTCGCACTGATGTCACTTCTGGGCACACAGGGCAGGTGCCTATTTTGTATGTCCCCACCCCCTACAACCGGCCCACGCTGAAAACGACTATCACCTCCACCAACACATTAAATCTACTCTTGCACAACCCCTAGGCCAGCATGCCAAGGTTTGCGTTTTTCTCCAACTTAACCACAACCCTTCTTCGGGGCTGGGCCTAATCAACTGAACAATGAGCCCACCTCAGCAGGGTGGGTGGGATACAAATTGAAATAAGTAAATAAATAAATGTTGTTCCTTGTGGCACCTTGCACTTGAATGCTACTTCATCACTGCCCCGGCAATGGGAGGTGGTGGAGTCTTGAATTGAGGTCATGAATTAGATTGTTTACATGACGTTCCCAGGCAGCGGGCCATAAAGGCGTCTGGAACTGAAGTCTGGTTGAAGTCCTCCGTCTGGTTTTGAAACAGGATTGGGGGAGACAGAATCCCTTTTTAAAGCTGCCCTGATTCACACGTGGTAGAAAAAGAGGATGAAGTGGTGCGATCTCATCTTGGAATGTTCCCCATCCCCACGCGAAAACAAACAACAAATCCCTGCAGGTAGAAAATCAGCACAAGAAGAAGCAAAGAGAAGCGATGCAACTCTCGTCTTCAGTGCCGGTTTCTTCCTTTCCAGGGAATGCTTGGATGTTTGTTTTTGCATATGTGCATGTGTGTGCACCTGGGAGTCATGGGGACCGCTGGTGACTGACCCCTACTGGTTTGTTTGCTTTTTTAAGCGAGGGAACATTATTTTGCATTTATGCTGTTAACCGCCCCGATCGCCGGGGAAGGGAGGGGGGAAAATCGAATGAAATAAATCCACAAATATCCGCTTGAAGTGGAGCGGCCGTCCTTTTCTCCCGCCGGCACATCCGACCCCCGAGTTCCCCTGGCAGGTGTTCACGTGCAAAACACGCTCGCCTCGCTCTCAATCGAGCCTTCTCTCTGGCGAGGGGGAAGCGAGACGCCTAGACCAGAGCAGCCGCTTCCTGAGCACCAGGACCAATGGCGAGGAGGCTCCCCACCCGAGCCCTCCCCCCTCCCACTCGTCCGCTCGCTCGCAGCCTCGCTCTCTGCCTGCTCCGTCACGTGGGAAGAGAGCCCCGGGGTCCTCCCAGTAGCTGCCGCGCTTCCGTGCACAGAATCGCGGCAACGGCGTGGGATCGCGGCAGGGCGATTGCCGTTCCCGTCGGTCGCTGCCCTTTTCCCTCTCTCCTCCGGCTGTCTTGGAAAGGAGCTGGGCCGGATCTTGTCCTCCTACAACCATGAAACTCTTCGCTGGGTTTTTCCTCCCCGGGCTGTGGCTGGTGCTCCTGTCTTGCAGTTGTCGCGTGTACTCGGGTGAGTAATCTTGGGACGCCCCCCCCCCAAAAAAAAACACCCCTAAAAGCTTTAAAAGGGGAAAGTTTTGACTTCTATCCTCCAGCCCCGTATCACATTTTTAAGCTGTTGCTTTTGCAAATTAGTCGGGTGTGTCCATTGCAGATAGCTGATCCGTCGCCCCATGTGGCTCCAGAGCGGGGAAGCCCATCTTTCGCATGTACGGAAACTCATGCTGCGATCAGTCGTGCGCTTGGCGTTGAAGGGTGCTCCTGGGCTCGAGTTTAATCGTGGGTTTAAACTTTAAAGGGCGCTCATAGAAACAGCAGATCTCTGGCCATGTTGTGGTGCCACTCTGAACAAGGCACCGGGTGCCCGAGAGGCTCTGGATCTGAAATAGTAATATCATTCACACAGTCGTTATTAATCTGAAGGGCCTCGTTGTGCAACGTGAGGGCGATTGCGTCGCATGTGGCTGGGGCTGACGCTGAGGTTTCTTTCTTTGCAAGTTTTTGTTGCAAATAGGTCTCGAATAGACTGAGGGCGCTGAGGGATTTTGTTCACTGTCGTGGTGCCTCTGTGTTGGATTTGTGGCAGTGTCTGTAAGCAGAACGTCTACACACACACATACCCCCTTTTAAGAGACTAAAATAAGACTGGAGACTAGTTGTTGCATTCCGGTCCGTGGAGGCCTCTCTGGAAAAAGCTTGATTTGGCAATCTCGTTTAAAAATCAAAGCATGGGCAAGATGGTGTAAACAAGGCATGTCATCCTGAGGCAAAGTATTTACATGGAAGTAAATCCTGTTGACTTACAGGGCCAACTTAGGCTACACTCTTCCTCTACTTACTCTACCCTGGTTTTGTTACATTTTTCCTTGTTTAAGTGTCCAATGAGACACTGAATGGGAAGGATGGTCTTCTAGGTTGCTACAGGCCCTCCAGTGGCCTACTAAATTTAAATCAAGGCTCTGCTTTTAAGGGAAAGAATGATTGTTATGACCTAACAGCATGGAGGAGCTGTGGCTCCATGGTAGAGCATCTGCCTGACATGCAGAAGGTCACAGGTTCAATTTCCAGTATCTCTAGCTGAGAGGATCAGGTGGAAGTTAATGTGAAAGACCCTCTGTTTCAGACCCTGAGGAGCCTCTGCCAGTCTGAGAAGACGATAGTGACCTTGGGGACCAATGGTCTGATTCAGTATAAGGCAGATTCATATATGTCCAGGCATAATGTATAAAGTATGCTAAGAAAACAAGGCCCCTGCCCTGAGCAGGTTGTAGTCTAATTTTTGAAGGAAGGAAGGAGAAGAAAAGGAAGAAAATGGTTAAAAGAATATTGGCAACTTTAGCATACATATATTCAAGCTCATCTGCCTAAATGCCTTTTGTTATCCTTCCTCCTTTCTGGGAGTTTAGGCCAGTAGATACAGTTCTTTGATTCTATCCTCCTTCGAAACCTGTGGGGTAAGTTTAGGCTGACGGGCAGTGACGGGTCCGAGGTGTCATAGCCAAATGGGGAACCGAACCCCAGATCTCCTCAGTCCTAACCCAACATACAAAGCACCACGCTGCACAGGCTATTCTGGTAAGTTCAGCAAGAGAAACGCTAGGCCTCAGTATATGGCAAAGACGAGAAGCCCCTGCCAGTGGTTGAAAGGGGCCTTTTGGAAAGCATATTCAGTCCTTGGCACCCTACCTGACAACCTCATGCTGAGGTCATGTGTTGTATAGCTCTGAAGCATTTGTAGCTGGTGGTACCTAATGTAGAGCACCCGTGAGATTGTTGGGTGGTTGATCCCTCGGATCGGGCACTCTCAACAATGCAGAAGTTGGCTTTCTCTGTTCAAGATAAGGCAGGGTGGTATAATTTTACACAAATCAATAAAGTGGCGTTTCAGGCTTTATGTTATCTCTCCCTGAGCATCTGCTTTTCTTGCCCCTTGAGAAAGCAGAGGCAAATTGTTAAATGTTTAATGGAGAACGAATAGTTCAGATGTCAGGAGCCCGGTAGCACCATCCCCCTGAGATATATAGCGCTAGTCACGTCTTCTGCAGAAGTTCAGAACTTATTTGGAAACAGATTCAAAATGATACATAGATGCACCAGAGCTAATTTATGACCTCCTCTCAAGGATGGAGCTAGTTATTATGGTAAACACATTACTGCGGTTGCAGTGTGGTGTAGTGGTTAAGAGTGTCAGACTAGTATCTAGAAGACCCAAGTTCGAATCCCTGCTCATGCCATGGCAGCTTGCTGGGTGATCTCGGCCAGTCGCACAGTCTCAGGCTAACCTACCTCACAGGGTTGTTGTGTAGATAAAATGAAGGCGAGGACAATGCTGTAAGCCACTTTGGGTCCCCATTGGGGAGAAAGGGGAAGTATAAATGAATGAAATAAGCAAACAAAAACACCCCCACAAGTTCTCTGCTTCATAACGGTTGAGTGTGCACATCCTTGGATATTGTGCTGTCTCCTTGCTGCCCCAGTCCTCCTTCCCAAGCCCCAAGAACAGATTGGATCTGTCATAACCAAAATGCGCACCTGCTGGGCTGTAGTTCAATGGGAGAGTATCTGCTTGGCATGCAGAAGGTCCCAGGAACAGTCCCAGTTAAAAGACTCAAGTGGTAGGTGATGTAAAAGGACCTTTATCCAAGACTTTGTTGAGCCTTTATCCAAGACTCTGGAGAGTTACTGCCAGGCAGAATATATAAGCCTGATCTAGAGCCAGCATGGTATAGTGGTTAAGAGCAGCGGACTCTAATCTGGAGAACTGGATTTGATTCCCCACTCCTCCAAATGAAGCCAGCTGGGTGACCTTGGGTCAGTCACAGTTCTCTCAGAAATCTCTCAGCCCCACCTGCCTCACAGGGTGTTTGTTGTGGGGAGGGGAAGGGAAGGAGATTGTAAGCTGCTTTGAGACAATGAGGCCTGCTGGGTGACCTTGGGCCAGTCACAGTTTATTTTATTTATTTATTTTATTCAATTTATACCCCGCCCTCCCCGCTACGTGGGCTCAGGGCAGCTTACAGGAGGCATACGCCAATATAAAACATACATAAAACCATTTAAAATCGCTATAATACAATAACATTATTAACAAGTTATTAACAAAAGTGCTCTAGATGTTCGACATGATATTTCACAAGATGGTGTATTTCACTGCTCTATCTACTCGGCATCATCTGCTTCGGGAAACACTGATGTTCCCTCCACCAGGGCCAGGTTAAGATGGAACAGTAGTGATGGTAGTGGCGGCCCCTACTCATACGCCTGGTGGAAGAGCTCCGTCTTACAGGCCCTGCGGAACTGTACAGCTCTCTCAGAACTCTCTCAGCCCCACCTGCCTCACAAGGTGCCTGTTGTGGGGCGGGGGAGGGAAAATTGTAAGCCACTTTGAGACTCCTTGAGGTAGAGAAAAGTGGGTTATAAAGACCTACACTCTTGTGTATACTGTATACTGTAATTTTTGTTCTTGTACACTACTGCATGTAGTGGCCTGATGCTGTAGAAGGCAGCTGTGTGTGTATGGTAGAGCAATATTCAGTGACGTTGAGATGAGGTCAGTATCCAGTGAGCCTTGCTTAGCATTGGTCATTATGATGCACAATATTTCCATTCATCCCACCTCCCTGCTGTTGGCATCCAAAAGTGTGGTGGGACAGTGCAAAATACCAAGCCATGGTGAGAAGAAGTCGATGTTTTGGAAAGGAGACAACAGGACATACATTGGGGGGCTGGGTGGGGTTACAGCTTTGCATTCATTGTAGGGTCTTCCAAAAATCAGGTTGTTTGGAATAATGTAGAGAATCTCAGCTTTCATTTGGGAAAGGCGTATTCAAGTCCTGGTAGTCGTTGGAAGATAAACACAAGTTTGAATATGTTTAGACAGGTTTAAAAATAGAATGAGGCTTCCAAGTGGTGTTTGCGTCTCCTAGTTCCCTGGCCCTCTGCTTTTCCACGCCTGTCCTGGACTTCCCATATATTTCCTTGCTGCCCCAGTCCTCCTTCCCAAGCCCCAAGAGCAGATTGGACCTGTCATAACCAAAATGTGCGCTTGCGTGGCTGTTTGACAAAGTTGTGAGTTTGCATATTGGAAGAAGGCAGCCTAGGAACCACTCTCTTTGTCCTGTATCTTTCATTCTTTCAGGAAATTATTAAGCCAACATTTTTATACTGTAATTTTTGTTCTTGTACACTACCGCATGTATTTCAGGGGGGACATGTATAATTTTTACAAAAGAATCAGATTTTTAATGCTTCGAAGAGATTTCTAAAGTGGCCAAACGAATGGAGGGCAAAGTTTCTGAATCATATAACACGGCAGGCTTTGCCTGCCAATTCCCCCCCCCCCTGTTTACATGATTATATATTTATTAAAATATTTATACCCTAAACAGTCAAGGCAACTTATGCTATTAAAAGTCACAGAAAACAGTTAAAAATAGATAGCTGTTGTGTGCCGATAGTGTTCCTAAGGTTGCTGTGTACTAGTTGTTCCCTCACTCAGGGTATTCTAGATGGAATCAAGCAGGGCCTATGCATTTTCCCTCCTAGCTCATTCTTTATTTAATGGGCTCAGGGAGGTCAGTGTAGAGAACATTAAGAGAAGCTGTGTTGGATCCGGCCAATTGCCCATCCAGTCCAACAGTCTGTGTCACACATTGGTCAAAACCCAGGTGCCATCAGGAGGTCCACCAGCAGGGTCAGAACTCCAGAGGACCTCCCACTGTAGCCCCCTGAGCACCGTGAATATTGAGCATCACATAGATGTGTTCAGGAGATGCTGTAAGGAAGCATTATTTTCTCTGGGCTTTAAAGGGACTATCATTTTATTGAGTGGCTTGAATCACCCAGACTTAGACCAAGCTCATGAGAGCATGGAACGTAAGGATGGTCAGCCATAGTTAGTACTTGGATGGGAGACCACCAAGGAAGTCCAGGGTTGCTATGGAGGGAAAGGCAGTGGCAAGCCACCTTGAAAACCTCTTGAAGGGCTGCCATACGTTCATAGAATCATAG